GATGCATTTTTTCGATGGTATTATTTTCACATGTTTCTAGGTTTCGACATAAAACTGATTTTTCGTAATACACCTTCATATCTAGCCTTTAGACGACAGTGTCATTCTAAACATCTGCGGTATTCTGTGATCTAGAATGTAACATTGAAAATTCACCTTTACCTCGACTTTATGAATAATACCCAATAAAGACACGGCAAGAACTTTGTTTGTTTGTAAGTTAAGCACAAAGCTAAGCCAAGGGCTATATCTGTGCTCTGTTCACCACGGGTATCGAAACCCGGTTTTTAGCGTTATAAACCTAGAGACTTACCGCTGTACCACTGTGGGATCGTGGCAAGAAGATAAAATACACTATGTTTCTTGCGATCTGGAATTTTGAGCTTGGCCTTTACGTCACTAAAATTCAAAAGCATGCAAAATATAAGTGTCTCGCTAGTCATGCGTTGAAAAATATAGTTTCTCACAATTACACACGTGTAATTATACAGAAGAACACGATTACGGACTAGAGCGACCCACAAAATGGGTGGGGGAAATAATCAATATTTCATGAATTTTATAAGACGTTAATTATCAATTTCCTGTGTGAGAAAAACAGGACGTCAAAGACATACAGAGAGCGTATAATTGTGTCTGAACTAATGATGTTAACTTAGTGTGTGACGTGCGGAATGTATAGCAGAGAGCTTAGACTTTATTTCCTGTTCATATAGATAGATATTGTCAACCTAACTTAAAAATACTGCAGATATGACTAAAAGTTTATTTTATAGAGTGGGTGAAGATTATTTTTGTATACAAACACACATGTATATATATATGTGTGTGTGTGTGTGTGTGTGCACGAAGTCACTCAAAACAACCATCGGATTAGTGTATTGAAAACCTACTTCAGCGATGAACAGTTTATTAGTTTTCACTGTATTAAGCCCTTGAAAGAACCCACGTGTCAAATAAAGTACAATACGTTTTACAAATTTAGTAACGAAACGGAACATCTTATCATTCAGAGAACAGTGTACAAAATACATTCATACAGATTAATCAGAGTTGTGGAAGCTCCTACAGATCGTATGCTTAGAAGAAAAAAGGAGATTAATAAATTATTAATATGTAAAATATTACCATTGTGGCTATTACGCGGGAACTATGGTAACTGAACCTTTTATTTATGATAAATTCTATAGAAATAAATCAGGTAAGAATAAGCAACAGAACAGCTACAATAAGCCGTCCGTAGCGAGTTGATAATTGTTGTTTAAAACTAATCATGCAGGTAAATTAATATGTAGAATTATATACAGATTTTTCTGTACGTTAAAATACTAAACAATACATTGTTGCCCGATGAAGACTGTGATAAGAGGGTCGGAAGCTCGCAATAAAAATATTTTAACGTAGAGAAAAGTCCGTTTATAATTCTACATATTAATTTACCTACGTTATGGGCCTTAAAAAAACAAGCACAGCTACAATAAAGTACCTATGGTTATAAAATTTGTGAAGTAATAAAGGTCGTTAAACAGCGTAAGAATACGAGTAAGAGTATAATCACTATATATCACGTACAAATATAATACGGTGACTGCGAATATGGAAGTTATTGGGTGATAAGCTTTATAAAAATAATATCAATTAAAGTACAAATACGAACCACTTACGACAAAGTTAGTATGAATTATGATTACGACGGTTTTTTTCTCTGTCATAACGATAACAGTACTGAACATTGCGTATATATATATTTCCTGTTGTACTTTTGTTAGTCTTAGAGAGATTTCCATATGGACGTGTCATTCAATCCATATAATACAATCAAGTATATAATTGCAAATGAATATATTTACAAGTAAAAGGTCATGCCGATCGACGGAAGAAATGCTCTTTCTAAAGTTACTAAATCATCCGAAATTTGTTTTATACGGTGTGAATTTTTGAAATAATTGCTATAAAGTTTCATCTGACAATATAATTTGTTTACTAAGGTAAGGAACGCCACCTACAGATCGATGATGAGTGTGTTTTTCAAAGCTGAGAATGAACCAGCACGATTACATATACACAGCGTATTAAAATATTGTAATGAAGTTCTATCATAATAAATTGTTTGTTTGTTTTGAATTTCGCGCAAAGCTACACGAGGGTTATCTTCACTAGCCGTCCCTAATTTAGCAGTGTAAGACTAGAGGGAAGGCAGCTAGTCATCACCACCTACCGCCAACTCTTGGGCTACTCTTTTACCAACGAATAGGGAGATTGACTGTTACTTTATAACGCTCCCACGACTGGAAGGGCGAGCATGTTTGGTGTGACGGGGATTCGAACCCGCGACCCTCAGATTGCGAGTCGAGCGCCGTAACCACCTGGCCATCATAATAAAAGCAAATTGTTTATTTAAATTTGAATTGAAATACTAGAAGGAAGACAGTTAGTCAACAGTACCCAACGCCAACTCTTGGACCACCTTTATTTGATCTAATAGTGGAATTTTGACTGTAACTCTTGTAGCACAACAACGGCCGCAAAGTGCGGAGCGCGTTTTTGCAGCAATAAATCGCGAACAAAGAATACTTGTATTCACAGTCTGGGCACACTAACCACTGGCCACACCTGGTTAAACTAAATTATATTCAGATAAATATAATATTCATTCGGTCCAGTGTAATAACTCTTGACCAGTTGATAATTAAATGTATAACTTTTGCGAAATAAAAAAGATGAGTGTAGTAATTGTTCACATACTACCTGAAGAGAGGTTTCAATTAAATTTACATTAAACCCGTGTTCTAGACTATCTTTCAGATATTCCCACGTGAAAGCTATTTTAATCTCTTCTGCTGGATTAATACGAAGTGGCGCACATGACTAATCCTTCAGAAACTATGTTTAATTATTCATGAAATATCCCTCAATTAGATGAAGTACTTGTGAGAGGAAAGTCGTGATTGTTCTATAATCAGCTTCAGTAGAAGGTTAGTGCATTACGTAAATAATTAGATCTCGGTGTGAGAGTTTCACATAAATCTTAGTGTGAAAATAATACGCCTTCTTTTTTTGGAAAAATCAACAAAATCGCAAGTAAGTCTCATAAATCAAATTTGCTAGAGCCCAATTTAATTATTTCTTAAGTGCAGAATATCCCACAGTCAGTACTTATTCCACATATAACACTTCATAATGTAATAAGGGTATGTAAGTAACTTCAAGGTATCTAATAGTTATATATGTTTTATTTTTTAATACATAAGTTTATACAAATACATGCATGTACCCCCACCCCAGCGGTAATTCTCAAGGATTGTAATGCTAACAATTGGGTTTCGTTACTCGTGGTGGGCACAGCACAGATAGCCCACTGTGTGGCTTCGCGCTTAACAACAAAGCTAAGGACATGGAAGCCAACTATCTTTTATACAGCGAGAAAGACAACGTCCAAGTTTAACATTCAATATTAAATAGACTATGATAATTGAATAGTCAATAAATGTCAATAGTGTCAGGACTTCCAGCCTCTGGCAATCTAATGTAAATTGTGATCACTTAACAGATTTCGACGTCAAAAAATCATAAAGTTTGTTTTGTCATTTAATACCCCAAAATTATTCTTTATCTCATAACTTTTTCAATCAAATTATATGTTTAGTGTGAAACTTTTTTGTTGATTTCAGAGTTTAACGCAAAGCTATACAAGAGCTACCCGTGCATAGCCATCCCTAATTTTGAGCTGATGGACTAGCTAATTAACAACAGCCATCACAAACTACTGGGCCACTCTAATCTGACCAAATAATGAGATTTCACGTCACTCTTATACACCAAAATCTAAAGTGAGCCATGAACCCTCTGAAAGTTCGGGCACGCTAACAACCACGTCACGGCCAGTCCTAGTGTGGAGTTCAAGATGGATGCAGTTATATTTTTCATTGTTAATAAATTCCTAACGACTTTCACATCTTTCCGTAATAAAAAGCAAATAGAACAATAACAAAAACATTGTTTTGTATTTTTCGAGTAACGTGACTTATTTTTAGTTTTTACAGTAAAACTTTCCACATGGAGAAATGTGGGAATATGGTGGTACATAAGTTTGTAAAAACATGGTCTGCTTGTTGTTAATTCTACTGATAATTGCATGTGCGAAATATGCTGATATTTTGAGCAGTAACACACATACATATGTATATATATATATATATTTCACAGTTACCTACATTATATCAAAAGTATACAGGCGGTTACTCAGCTATGGAAAATCCCTGACGATATAATTATGTAAAAATATAACATCTTTTATGGATGTACGCGCCAACAAATGCATTATTACACCAGCAAAGCTGCAGTAAAACAATGTAAAATTATGGCATTTATTTATATGGCATGAATGGTATAATTGTACATTGTTTTGTTACAGATTTGCTGGCACGATCCATGAAAAATGTTGCATTTTTACATGTACGTACTTTCACATCTTTCCGTAATAAAAAACAAATAGAACAACAACAAAAACATTGTTTTGTATTTTTCGAGTAACGTGACTTATTTTTAGTTTTTACAGTTTTTAGGTATTTATATGTGTTATTCTGAATCTTTGTTTTATTTATCAAGTTAGAAAAAAAGACAATTAACACCATCATGTTAATTAACTCAAGAAGATGATAGCTTTCAATAACGTAAACTTGTGTAGCTGTAGTATAATTTCCTTCACTATAAGATTACAGACGAACACATAACCGGTTTTATTAGCCAAGCTAAGACATATCATTTCGCCATCGAGTAGTTAAAGTCGCTCTGAATTAAACATAACACTAAATTAATTATAAAATTTCGTTCGGCAGGAACATTAACCATGGTTAATTTAATTCCTCCAGACCTTCATTTAATTCTTCTAAGTTCTATCAAGTCTCCAAGGAACGTTTTTCTTAATAGTTTACATAAAAAATGAATTGTGGCAGCGACGATAGGTTATATTAAGTATGAGAGAGTTAGAAGAGACTTACCATCAGAGTCAGAGGAATGAGCGTTGACACTGGACACAGCTTTACCTCCAATTGATACCATTAATACAACCACCAGTTGAAGCAACATGATCGACGCGAAATTGACGTAGTGGCTGTACTGAAGGAGATTAGTGCACTTTCTGGCACGAGTGTATTGCTTGATAATGTAAGGTTTTGTCCTGAGTTCTTTTACAAGTTGGATGTGCGATATAATAAGAGCGTCTAGTATTCAGCCTTGTTTTTGCGGCAATTTTGGTACGCCTGCACGCGAGACTCGGGTCGCAAAAGCTGTCTTTCTCACAAGCGAGTTTACACACAGACGTGGAGCGTGGTGCTTGTCTTTCTAGAATCAGCTGAGATTTGTACGGAATGGATTGTTGCGTGCAGCACAAATTATGCGATCTACGCAGATTTTCCGGGTGAGGGCGCTGCTGGTATTCAGCGTCTTAGAGTATTACACATAGTTAGACATGCGATCATTTTTGGCTTCCTGTGTAGTTCAACTCGGTGAATTCGAGAAAGAACAAGAACTGCTATAATTAAGGGTTCACTTTTCAGCTTTTACGACACCAGGAAAACTCAATCCTTAAAACAGACTGCCTTCCAGCTGCCAAACTTTAGAGTCACTAATCCAACCCATGCGATGGTGTCACGCTGCCATAGTTACTATATGAGCAAAGGAAACCATGCTGTACAGCACGTGAAGCTATCCCCTTGTCTCGTCACCGCAGCTTGTGACCTCAACTGCCCGTGCACCACGAATTCATTCTCGTATCTCTATAAGAACTTTCACGCGGGAGCACCCACTCGCGGTTGGGGGAAGGGCTTGTTTTCTTGAACGCTACGGCCATCAATCATGGTTTAGAAGCTGGTCGCATAGAGATACCGACCCAAAACAAAAAAAAAGTCCACGTCAGCTAATTCTTTGCAATAGTCCCGGAGCAAGTCGGCATTGTCACTCGGTAGTCAAGTGATTGACGACCACAAAATGGACTGTACCAAAGAGGTCAATACAATTGACCCGAGCTTTTCAAGCCCAAAAAAACCCCTGTGGGCTTAATTGCTACTGCATTGACCTTTGCAGTTCTGAGCAGAAACACTTGACCTGCTAGATCTGCAACAGGATCGACTACCATTATTTGCAAAAACCGCGCCATCTATACAGTTACTAAGAGTATTTTAATGACTAATCACAATATTCATAGGTTATTATAAAAATCTAAGGCAGTTAAGCATAATATGTTAAATATTTACATTTCTATTTATGAAGTGATTTAACTAAAACAAATAAATTAAAAAGATACATTTAAAATTTTTCAGCACTCTATATTAAGATTTAGATTTAGCACAATAAGATTTTTCCCAGTAACGAATCAAATATTTACAGCCTAATGATTAGGTTAAAGCTATATGATGATTGGTTATAGAATTTGAAAATGTCGAAAGGTGTAGCAAACATAATTTACCGTGAACAAGTGTATGTAATATTCTGGTTAAATGTAATGTACACAGGGTTGGTTGGTTGGTTGGTTGGTGTTTTATGGCGCAAAGCAGCTAGGCTATCTGCGCCAAACAACCCGTAAAAGCAATGAAAGCAAATTAAAGTAAAATGTAAAAAAAAAAACAGCGAGTTAAAACCAATACATGTGTTTCAGGTAAATAATTAAGTCATACGTTATAATCTTAATTCATCTTTCGTTAGCAGTTTGATAGTTATAATCTTAATTCATCTTTCGTTAGTAGTTTGATAATTATAATCTTAATTCATCTTTCGTTAGTAGTTTGATAGTTATAATTTTGCTATCTGCAAAACATAAATTCGGCTCATAAGTTTCGCTCTATCTAAAACTCACAAAATTGCACCAATCTATTCAAATTTATCATTTCGCATTCATACATTATTCTAATAAAGACTTTAAAAATCCAAATTATTGAAACACTTCACATCATTAAGCAAGTTATTCCTTGCAATATCTAAGAAAACTCTTTGAATAATTATTTTATTTGATGTTCTAATGGATATATGTTGAATATATACATAGCGTTTAAAGTACTCGAGCATACAAACACGCATTTCATTTACATCTCTTTTGGATCGGTTTTGGCTTAGTGTTTAGAGTACCGGGCTATTGATCGAAACGTCTAAGATCCAAACCCGCGATTTAGAACTGAACCAGCGCCGCACTTTCAACTTTGAGTACGTCTTAGAGTTGAGATGAGTACTAGGTTCAATCCCAGGAGTTGCGCTGCTAGGTTGGAATCCTTCATAGATAGACCGAGAGGGAAGTATACGAGACTTCCTTTACTAATATTAACAGCAGCCAGTTACCAATTACTATTGAATTCCTATATTTAATTTTCTTAGTTACACCATTCCTTACTTTGTTTACAGCTACGTCATTCCCTCTGAATGCTGATGAAGATCTTTCAGAGCGTTATAGTAATGATAGTCAATCCCGCTATTCGGTTGACAGTGGACGTATATGCGACGGGTGCCGTTGACTGTTTGTCTTCCCTCTGGTCAGCATTCTAAATTAGGAAGGGTTATGCCTGAATTTTAGAGTCATTAACCTGGCTGCATAGCCCATGTGTTGCATAAGATGCTGTTTGGGTGGAAAACACCAAATACCATACATTTCTTTCAAGTGTCACCGACAATGTCGAAATTAAAAAAAGAAAAAAGAGGACTAAAAATCCAGCAAAGCAATATTAAATTCCTTCTTTTTACTACTGTTATAAGTAAAAATTAAATAAGCCTAGACAGCCAAAACGGTAATTACTGTGTTTTATTGCTTGTTTTAGTGTAAAGCTACACAATGGACTATCTTCGCTTTACCCATCACGGTAAATCGAGCCCCGGATTTGTGCATAGGAAGTCCGAAGACTGTAATATATATATAAGGTAAAAATAAAACAAAACGGCAGTGATTGAAACTACACGCTATTCTTAAACGAATTTCGTTGCCTCTCATTAACATATGTTAGCATACGTTTAGGGGCAAGTAATGAGATGGTGTGTGGCCTAAGGCGTATCATTAACCGAGATATGAAAGATTTTTTATTGCCATTACCTTGATTTAACCTTTATCCTTACAAATAATGTTTTACTAAACTCAAGATTATGTAACATACACACTGCTAGTTCAATAGGTAATTACATTTACTTTACTATTAATGACCAAACAAACAGAGATAACTGTTCACTTGATATCGCCGCCAAGTTAACATGTAATAAATCAAGGTTTAGAGTTTGTCGGCAAAACCTTGTTTGGTCTTTAGTGCTGCTACCCATAGATTCGTTTGTATTTAACTGGATGGTTCAGTCTCTTACCGAGTGTGAGATTCGTGTGAAGCCATTAGAAATTTACTGGCGGCCATATTTTGGATCTCACAAATCTTCTGAGCGTGGTATTGTGTTACATGATCCGACTACCTAGAAAAAACATTAAAATGTAGCAGAAATAATAAGATACGTTCATGTGCTGCCTCCAACTGTACAAAACAGGCAAAGATCGTTAAAAAGGGCGAAAAAGGTCAAATTTTGTAAGTAGGTTGATCTAGTTAGATTTATAAGCTATATTTAGAATTTTTTGGCCTAGCTTAGACTTACACTCGAGCAGACATCTCGACCACACGTACCATGACCACGAGGTTTGAATTTGGGTGTATAAAGAATAAGTAATCTTTATCACCAAATAGATCTATCATATGTAGGCCTAGCTTAAACTGTGATTCTAGTACACAACAGAACCATACAGTTTTATTACTGGTTTTATTACAGAAGTTTTAGATATTCTCTAAATATAGCAAAGGTAAACCAGGAATATAAATCTAACAAAGCCTTCAAGTGCTGTTCTCAGTCTTAAAAAAATCACCATAATTTAATGTTCCAACCAGAACCATGCACGATTGCAATAAGACTTGATCTATTATTTTTATCTTAGACCCTTCGTGTAAAAGAGCCTAATGGGATCGGGCCTATTAGGATAGAATTGGAAAGTATATCATAACACTAGCTCACTAAGTCTTAACTTGCTTGATTTATTGTAGCATTGACAGAATAACTAAACCAAACTTATAGTACAAATCAAGAAATAAGTTCTCAATCATTTGTAATTGTGAATTTGTTGTTCTTTATCTACTTAAATCTATTTAATTCATTCTAAATATTCTCCATCAGTTAAGATCTAAGTTTATCCCTCTATTGTATAGATCTAGTTAATAAATAAAAATAAATGACTAAATACTCAAACAACCAATAAACAAAAAAATCTCAAACTTCCCACCCTCTCCCTTTCCAAAACAGATCTATTTTATAAACGCTTTTCTCCATTCAACAAACTTTTTTGCTAATCTATACGGCGCAGTGTTCACATTTGTTTAGCCTTGAGCGATCCAATTAAATATAGAAATCGATAAATGCTATCAAAGCAAAGTCCTATTACGAAATGAAAGAAATGAAAGATATTAACAAGGTTACCATGAGTGTCAAAAAACTTAAAAACATACTTAGATGCGTTTCAAAAATACTGCATTTGTAATTCTGTGGAAGTTCTGAATTTGAATAAAACTGTGATATGTGACTAATTACGAGAGCCTACAAGAAATACGTTGTTTATGACTCCAACACTAATTTGTTGTGCCCTCCAAGATTCTTTGTTGTACCTCCAACACTTCTTTGTTGTGCCTCCACAAATTCTTTGTTAATGTAATTGGATAACTGAAACTCATACAATACTTTTATCAATAGCACTGATTCATATGAAATTATAGTTTGTATATTTTGGTTATTCTATAAAATCCGTATTTTATGCACTGTAAATAAATAATTTGATTTAAAAATTATATATGTGTGTGTGTTTATATATATAAACACACACACACACAATTTATAACAATTCTATAAAAGGAAAACAAAGATTAGAATTAATAAGTTTTAATGAAATAAGTTCATTATCGTTAAGCTCCAGTTTTAAATTAGGGTGTTTGTTGTGAGGCTGGTTTTCATAGTGTTGCATAGTTCTGTAGATTCAAGTGTTTGATATACATTAAAAACATTATATCAATTATCTGGAATCCAAAAGTTTGATTATTTCTCTGAACTTTCTCTTAAGAATAACCATACGTGATTAATAGCAAAGTTACAATATGGTGGTAAATTACGTGTACCCTGTAATATAGTACCTTCACGATGTGTCTTTTAAAACTTTATACATATTGTGCCCCTATGAAACTACTAACGAAAGATGAATTAAGATTATAGCTATGAAACTATTAACGAAAAATGAATTAAGATTAATCCTATCAAACTACTTACGAAAGATGAATTAAGATTATAACTATCAAACTGCTAACGAAAGATGAATTAAGATTATAGCTATCAAACTACTAACGAAAGATGAATTAAGATTATAGCTATGAAACTACTAACGAAAGATGAATTAAGATTATAGCTATCAAACTACTAACGAAAGATGAATTAAGATTATAACTATGAAACTGCTAACGAAAGATGAATTAAGATTATAACTATGAAACTGCTAACGAAAGATGAATTAAGATCATAGCTATGAAACTACTAACGAAAGATAGAATTAAAATTATAATTATCAAACTACTGT